ACTACTACTGCTACTCCTACTACGACTACTATGCATACTACTAATACTACTACTACTACTACTACTACTACTATACTACTACGACGGACGACGACTACTACTACTACTACTACGACTACTACTACTACTACTACTACTACTACGACTACTACTACTACTGCTACTGCTACTACTAGTACGAGTACTAGTACTACTACAACTACTACTTCTACGACTACTACTAGTACTACTACCACTACTACTACTACTACTACTACTACTACTACTACTCCTACTACTACTGCTACTGCTGCTACTGCTGCTACTACTACTACGACGACGACGACTACTACTACTGCTACTACTACTACGAGTACGACTACGACTACGACTACGACTACGACTACGACTACGACTACGACTACGACTACGACTACTACTACTACTACTACTACTACTACTACTACTACTACTACTACTGTTCTTCCTTCTGCTTTCCAACTTTCTTCTCCTTCTCCTCCTCCTCCTCCTCCACATCATCATCATCATCCTCACCGTCATCATCATCATCATCAGCAGCAGCAGCAGCATCAGCATCAGCATCCGCATCATCATCATCATCATCATCATCACCATCATCATCAGCAGCAGCATCATCATCATCGTCGTCGTCAGTATGGTCACCATCATCCGCGTACCGCCTGTAGTTCAAATCATGTTCCCCCCATCCGTTTCCCCATGATCATCGTCATGGTTGCCCCTCTGAACGCTATCGACGACAAGAGGATGCGACGGAAAAGAGAACGGCACGCAGAAAGAGACGGTGGAAGAACCGCACTGCTCTGGTTCGTCGAACGGGGCATCGACGCGGTGACGATCGCGACGGAGGTCAGACTCGTTCTGCCGTAAACGCCGCGCCCCAGTGGCCTAGGCGGCGGCACTGAACCTAGGGATGCGGAAGGTGCGTCGTCCGTTGGCAGGCTACTGCACACCGCGTCGGCTCGCCACGAGCAGCTGACGGGCGCCCTTGCATCCGCTCAGGGCGGGGGGGGCATGGACCCGGCGCCATCCGAAAAACTAGCAGCAATGGGCGGCCACCCGCACACCCGTGGCTGGGCAGGATCTCCCCCCCCTCGAGCCCACGCGGGCACGCACGCCGGCTGGGGCAGGTGCGGCAATGGCACAGCACGCCACGGCACTGGCACAACATCGCACGGCAAGACAACAGCAGCAACAGCGGTCATTTGGAGACTGTTCGCTCTTACTGGCACGCATGTCTTGCATTCTGTATACCCCAACCCTCGATACCCGCTCACTCCGTCTTCGACTGCACCCCATTTCGGGAGAGGAATATCTTCCGTGTCGGCCACGGACTGACGTGCGAGGAACTGTTGAGCGAGAGCGCCGTTCCTGAACTCGGGGGCTTCTCTGGGCAGGGGCTCTCGGAATACAGATTGGGAAATATCGAACGGAAACCCTTGTCGCCGTGTCTGGGCCTCCGCCAACTTGCCTGAATTACGAGAAAGTCTCGAGCGGGAGCGCCACTCTTGAGTTCGGGGCCTCTTTGGCCAGGGCCTCTGGGAATACATCTCGAGGAAGTATCGAACGAGAGCCTTTGTCATCGTAGTTGGACCTCCACCGATTTGACTGAATCACGAGGACGTCTCGAGCGACTGCGCCGTTCCTGAGTTCAGGGGCCTTCTTGGCCAGGAGCTCCTGGAGTAAATCATGAGAAAGTATCGAGCCAGAGCCTTTGTCGTGTGGCTGGGCCTCCGCCAACTTGCCTAAATTACGAGAAGGTCTCGAGCGACTGCGCCGTTCCTGAGTTCGGGGGCCTCTCTGGCCAAGGTGTCTCGGCGTAAATTGTGAGGCAACATCGAGCGGGAGCCGTTGTCATTGTAACCGGGCATCCAAGGGCACACGTTTACACTCAAGCCCGCGCTCGAGCGGGAGCCTCGTTTTCGGAGTCCATCTTGCAGTCTGCCGCGCGCACCACCGCGACCACCTGGTCCAAATGGCCATCGGAGGATTCTCCACGACAGGCGTTCCATGCGCCCGCAGTCGAAGCCACAGGGCATCTCTGTCTGCGCACCCGCGCGACACGTATGCGGTCGAGAAGGGCAATGCAGTCCTGGGCGAGGCTGGCCCACTACGCGGCGGAGTTGGCATCAATCTCAGCCCCCGTTCTTATGAGTCAGCAAAGAGCCTCGACCCCCAGCGGGAGGGAGCTGGAGTCAACGCCACACCCCATGCCCCACCCAGGACTCGGCGTTCCTCAGCGTGGCTGGCTTCAACCGAGCGGGCCGCTCCAACGGGGGCCTGCGAGCCGCAACCCCCGCCGTGAAGAAGAGGAGGGGGGGGGGGAATGCGGGGCGGCGGGGGTTGGGCGGGAACGCCAAGGCCACCTGTATGAGCATCGTGTAGCCGACCCCTATCCCCATGGGCGTGGCCTGGGCCCCACTGCCCGATTTACCCCCTAGATGCGGATATAGGCTATTCCCTTCGGGTTTCGAAGGGTATACCCCCAGCTGGGGTGCTGAGATGGCGGGGGTCTGGTTTGGGATTGGAATGGGGATGGGGTTCGGCAAGCCCTCGGCGCAAACACCGACCGTCACTTCCACTGCGCCACCGCCCGCACGCACGAGGAGCCAGGGCGCCACAGAAAGCGGCCAAGCGCAGGCGAGGCAGCAACGCGCAAACGGACCTTCGGCAAGCCCCACGACACCAATTCGAGGGATGAACGAGGAGGTCGCCGAGCCTCTTCCCAAGTCTCAGCAGCTGTCCCATCGCCACGGGACCTGCGCGACTGGCGTCTGCAGCGAGCTCGGCAATCGCACGTCTACCCAAGAAGCGGGGCAACGGGCCGCGGCCCTGGTAACGCCGGCCTTCGCGACCTCGCGCGGTTAGAAGACTCTTGGCACACCGCCCAATGCGGGGAGGAGGAGGAGGAGGAGGAGAAGGAAGGAAGGAAGGAAGGAAGGAAGGAAGGAAGGAAGGAAGGAAGGAAGGAAGAAACGAAGGAGGAAGGAAGGAAGGAAGGAAGGAAGAAGGAAGGAAGGAAGGAAGGAAGGAAGAGGAGAAGGAGGAGGAGGAGGAGGAGGAGGAGGAGGAGGAGGGAAAGGGAGGGAAAGGGAGGGCGGGAGGGAGGGAGGGAGAGAAGAGGAGGAGGAGGAGGAGGAGGAGGAGGAGGAGGAGGAGGAGGAGGAGGAGGAGGAGGAGGGGGAGGCAAGAGTACCGACGACGACGATGAACACGACGACGACGACGACGACGACGACGATGACGACGACGACGACGACGACGACGACGACGACGACGACGGCGACGACGACGACGACGACGACGACGGCGACGGCGACGGCGACGAGGCGCCGCGCGGCGGCCGCCTGGACGTCCCTGGCGTGGCGTCGGGAGCCGACCACCACCAGCAGCCTCGGCCGGGGCGGCTGGGCCGGGCCCGCGACGCCCCTCTGCACCGCCCGGGGGCTGGTCCTCCAGAGTCCCTGGTGCCCGGGCCCTGAGAGAGGCCCGAAGCTCCGACGATGTCCTTGCCCCCCGACAGGACGCAATCCGACGAAGCACGACCACAACGGCCACGACGATCACGACCATGCCAACGACCACCACCACCACGACCACCACGACCGCGACAACCGCCTCGACCACGACGACGACCCTGACCTCAGACGTCGTGACTTCTTCACGGCGTGGCCCCCCAGAGCTCTCGACCCTACCCACCGGGGCTAGCTTTTCGTATATGGGTCGGTTGCTTTTGAATGGCGCTGGGGCCCAAGAACGGCGCCCAGTCGCCGGAATGGACGAAAAGGCCCCGCCGGTCGTTATTTATTTGTGTCGCTGCGGGGGCGGCGGCAGCGGCAACTACGCTGCCGACGACGACGACGACGACGACGACGACGCCGACGACGCCGACGACAACGGCGGCGGCTCCGACGACGACCAGTCAGCGCCACGACCGCAACGATGTCAATGACGGCCAGGTCCACGACCACGGCCGCGCAGACGACCCCAGATCTCCGAACTCGTGGCTTCTTCATGGCAAGGCCCCCAGAGCTCTCGACCCCATCCCCGGGACCAGCACCCCTCACTTGCGGACGCATGCCCTGACGGTTCCAGGGCCCGCCACGCGGCCCCCGGAACCGAAACCGACTCGGGGGACGACGGCGGCGTCGTGAGATGCTCTGCGCGACATCGGCGACCCCAGGGTGGGGGTCCCTCGCCGCTGGGCGCCGCAAGGCCGCCGCGAGGCCGCTGAGAGGTCAGAAGAGGCGAAGTCCAGACGGAGCACGTAAGTCCAGACGGCGACCGAGCGCTTTGTACGGACTTACTGCGTACGGATTCGGCGTCCTGACAGGAGAGGCAAAGTCCAGACGGAGCAAGCCCGGACGGAGACCGAGCGCTCCGTACGGACATGCTACGTACGGACTCGGCGTCCTATGAGGAGAGGCCGAATCCAGACAGAGTAAGCCCAGACGGAGACCGAGCGCTCCGTTTGGACTTGGCATCCTCCGACAAGGCCCCGGTGGGCCCCCGTCGTGAGGTCTTGCGCGACGGCGGCGGCGGCGGCGGCTCTGGAGGCGGCGGCGGCGACGGCGGTGCGCGCCGCCTGGCCGCCACCGCGCAGGTGCCCGCGCCAGCGGCCACGGCCGCGGCAGGGCAGGCCCTGTGCCTGCGGCGCCGCCGGGCATCCTCGGAGCGGCGGCGGCGGCGGCGACTGCGATGACGCCAGCACGGCGGCGCTGGCGGCGCTGCTGACGACGGCGACGGCGCAGCGCGCGACGCCGCCCAGCCGCCGCTGGCGTGGCGACGAAGGCCGGGGGGTGCGGGCCGACAACGACTGGCCAGCCACAACTGGAGGAGCTGTGGTCCTTGCCCTCCAAGGAAGAGCCCACCTCGCCGACGATCGCATCCGCCTTGTCTCGATGCGGCGCGGGCCCCACCCTCGACTTTAGACGTCCACGGCGACAGTAGAATCCGAAACCCGTCCGAACCGACAGCGAGACCGAAGCCAACCAAAGCCAGCAGGCCCAAGGCAGCCCAGAAAGCGCAACGACACAACAGCTGAGCCGACCCGAACCGATCTGATGCGGCCGACTCCGACGCGGCCGACGGAACAGCGCGCGAATTCAGCCACCATGCAGAGGGAGGGAAGAGAACGACACCCCCCGCGGCCCACACACCCGCAGAAGCGACTGCGACCTCTGGGCCACCGCGGCCCCACGGCGGCGGAAACCGGGCACCGGGGCGGCGGCGGCGACGGCCGCCGGCGGCGGCAGCCGTTGGGCACAGCGGCGGCGCCGCCGCCGCTGCGTGCACTGCGGCGGCGGCTGCTGTCGGGCACGACGGCAGAGGCTGCGGCGGCGGCCACCGCGCGCGCGCGGGGGTCTTCGCAGGGCGCAGGCGGGCGCCCCGCGTCGCGACGCATGGGGCGGCGCCCGCGCGTGCGTCCGGCGGAGAGTCGCGAGGCATGGGCCGGCGCCCGCGCGCGCGTCCGGAGGGGGGCGGACCCTCCCCCGGCTGCGATGGAGGCGGCGGCGGCGGCGGGCCCGAGGCTCCAGGCTCGGCGGTCGAGGCTCGAGGCCCGAGGTTTTTTGGTGTGGTCTCCAGAAGCCTCCAGGGATACCTGGGGACCTCCGCAGGCCCCTGGGAACCCCTGAGACTTCTAGAGGCCTCCAGAAGCCTCGGGGGCGGCAGGGAGCGACCACCAAATCGGGCCACAGTGCGCGGGCTCGACCCAAAGGAGGGACGCAGACCTCGAACATCCGCCACCGTGCCTTACACACGTTGAGGCGTGGAAGAATGCCAAAGACTGTCTGGTCGGATTTCTGTAATTTTCCAAGGCCGCCCCCCTCTCGGGACGCGCTTTCTTGCATGCACCGCCATCTCTCCCCGAGGCTCCCTGGGTTGCCTCACACCTCCCTGGCGCTCTCCAAGGCGTCCAAGGTGCGCAAGATGCCTTCCAAGACGGCCCAAGCAGGCCACCAAGGCCGCCAAGATGGCCGCAGAGCGCTCCAAGACGATCCAAGATGGCTCCAAGGCGGCCCAGGAGGCCGTCGAGGCGTCCCACGAGAGTCCCAAGAGCTTCTCCAAGAGGGCCTCGAGAGGCAAAATTCATTGATTGTCCTTCGGTATTTCAATATGTTTCTCGCCTTTGCGAGCTTCCGACATCCCAGGACGATGCAGCAGGCAACAAGAACTGCCCGAAGACGACCCAAGAGGTCCCCAAAAGGGATCCAAGACGGCCCAAGAGGCGCCGAAGAATGCCCAAAAGAGCTCAACACGGCCCCAAAAAGGGCCCAGGAGGGTGAGCACGAACTGACAAGTCGAGCCTTCCGCCCCACGAGGACTCTGAAGGCCCCAGGATGGCCAAAAGAGGCCTCCAAGAGAGCCCCGAGAGGCAAACAACCGTGACTCGACTTGAGAATGTTTCACTGTTTTTCGGGTTCTCGCCTGTGACTTCCCAGAGATGGCTAAAGAGGCCCCCAAGAGAGCTCCAAGACGGCCCAAGAGGGCTCCAAGACGGCCTAAGAGGCGACCACGACTGCCCCAGAGGGCCCCAAGACGGCCCCCAGAAGGGCCTGAGAGTGGGAATACGAGCTTCGAACTCTAGGCTTCTGCCCCGAGAGGCCCCCAGCAGGCCCCGTTGCCTTGTCGAGTCGTGGCCACCTGGAATGCTGCGCTGGCGCGGTGGCGGACTTGCCAGGGGCAGCTGGATATTGACTACCTTCTTCGACGTGTGAATCCCCATTTTTTATATTTTTTTCGACGTGTGGATCCCCATGTTAGTCTCAGCTTGAGCGACTCAGTGTGACCAAACATGACTATGAACGGGTCTGAACGTGAGTGATTCTGAGCGCGCGTGCATGAGCGACTGAACATAAGTGAGTGTGAATATGAGTGGCTGCCAGCACGGGTGAATATGAGCACTCGCGATTGCGAGCGTTAGCGAACCAGGAGGGCAAGGAGTCTCAGCATGGCGGCAGAGCACGAGCGGGTACGACTCCGAGCGAGTCTGAGCACGAGCGAGCGGCTGAACGCATGAGCGAGTCTGGGCGGGTGCGGGCCTGAGCAAGGATGAGCGACTGGATCAAAGCACTCTTCAAGAAGAATACAGAATCACATAAACACAAACTTTTGACGCTCCGAGTTCAAAAAAATATGTTTATGCGGTTTGTTCTTCTTCGACTCCTCGTCGCCGTCGTCCTCGGAGGCCTCGTCGTCGCCCTTTCGAGACGCGCTCGCAGGAAGCAAATGGCACCTCCTGCGCGCGAAATCGCCCGCGCCATGCCGGCGCGTGGCCGCCCGCTGGCCCCCCGACACGAGGTCCCCAGCGGGCGGCCGATGGCCGCGGGATTCCACACACGGAGGGGGAAGATCTGTACAGCTTGACCCCGGGGGCGCTGTCGCGGAGGAGGGGGAGGAGGAGGAGGAGGAGGAGGAGGAGGAGAGAAGAAAAAGAAGCGGAGGAAACAGGAGGAGGGAAGAAAAGGAGGAGGGGAGAGAAGGAGGAGGAGGAGGAGGAGGAGGAGGAGAAGGAAAAGGAGAAGGAGAAGGAGAAGAAGGAGGAGGAGGAGGACGAGGGAGGAAGAGGAGGAGAAGAAGGAGGAGGAGGAGGAGGAGGAGGAAAGGGGAGGGAAGGAGGGAGGAGGAGCAGGGAAGAGGAGGGAGGAGCAGGAGTGAGGGGGGACGAAAGAGGAACAGGGAAGAGGAAGAGAGGAGGGGGGAGCAGGAGCGGGAGACCTAAGGGGGGCGAGAGCGGAGGAGAGAAGGCGGGGACCGGATCTACACCACTCCCCCTCGCCGAACCGAGGAGAGTGAGGGATACGTGGTTACAAATATGAGAGTTCAACGCAAATTGAAACAATGAGAGAGAGGGGGGGGGGGAATATAAAGAAAACGAGCAAAAACAAAAAAAATGCTAAGGACCCAGCCATGTGCAGGTGTCACTGTCGCCGTTTTGGGTATCGCCTTCGGTGGATCTCCTCATGAGGCAACGAAGCGAACAAAGGGTGCGCCGAAATGAGGCGGGGCCGCCATGCGGGCGCTGCTACTGGTGCCTAAAATATACCCACCCCATATGGGGCCACGAAACGCGAGGGACGTGCCACAATTAGGCGATCGCCACTGGGGTTTTCGGTGGTTTTCCCTGGAGCCGCGACAAGAGTGAGGGATTTGCCGAAATGGGCGGGGGACGGGGCGCATGCGCACGTCGCCAGTGGGTCCTTCGGTGGAGCTCCGTATGGGGCCACGAAACGTGTGAGAGGTGTGCCAACATGAATGCGGCGAGCGCATGCGAACGCAGCGCAGCCACTAGGGCCTTCTGTGGAGTTCCCTATGGGGCCACGAAACGTGTAAGGGGTGTGCCGAACTTGGCGGCGGGGGGACGCATGCGAACGTCGCCACTGGGGCCTTCGGTGAAGCTCCTCATGGGGCCACGAGACGCCGCACTGGGTGGGGCGGAAGCGTGCGCACGTCGCCATTGGGCCTTCGGTGGAGCTCCCAAAAGGGCAACGAAACAGTGTACTGGGCGGGGCGGACGCATACGAGAGCAGCCACTGGGGCCTTCGGTGGAACCCCCTTTCTATGGGGCCACGAAACGAAACGTTGCACTGGGCGGGGCGGGCGCACGCGAACGTCGCCAACGGGTGCCTTCGGTGGAGCTCCTTATGGGGCCACGGAACGCTGTACTGAGCGGGGCGAACGCATGCGAGAGCAGCCACTGGGACCTTCGGTGGAGCTCCAATGTGGGGCCACGAAACGCTATACTGGGCGGGGCGGACGCATGCGAGAGCAGCCACAAGGGTGGAGCTCACTATGGAGCCACGAAAAGTTGTACTGGGCAGGACAGACGCATGCGAGAGCAGCCACTGAGGCCATTTGTTAGCTGTCACCTCCACTTCGGCGGCCGAAGCAGGTCTCCCCCTCCTGGGCGCCAACCTGCGCGGGCAAAGCAGAGAAGGGGGGCCAGGTGTGCAGCGTCGCCAGGGGCGCCCACGCGGGGCACCCTCATGGCCGTGCCCCCCCCCCCCGAACGGGGGGAGTCCACCCAAGCTGCTCCCTGGCGGCCTCGAGGAGGCCCGCGGCGGCAACGGAGCGTGCAGCAGGCACCCGAGTGGGGAGCCCGCCACGCCCGCGCCGCGCAGGGCATCATGCGTGCCCGTGCGCCTGCAGCTTGCGCCTGAGCTCAGCGCGGAGCTCGGCCTCGCGGCTGGGGCCCCAATCCGCGCAGCGGTGCATCAGCGCGATCGCCGCCGCCAGGAGCTGGTCGACCTGCTCCTCGGACGGCCCAAGCTCCGAGGAAGGCCCCTCCGCTGCGCCGACTGCGCCACCAGGACGGCCAGGCCCCGCCGCCTCCACCACGCCGCGGCCACGGCGGATCGGGAGGGCGTCAGCCCACTCATCGTCCAGGTGCACCTCGTCCTCCGCCTTCCCAACAGCGTCAACAGCCTGAGCGGCATCGGGAAGGGCAGGAGCGGGGCCAGGCTGCACGCGGCGCCTCCGCCGCCGCCGCCCAAGGCCGCCACCACCGCCCGCCACCATCTCGGTGTCTGCGGCCTCCGCGCCGCCATCTAGTGGAGGCTCCGTCGCCGCAGCTTCGCCGCGGCCCGCGGCATCGCCTCCTCGACCGCCGCGCCCTCGCCGTCGACGTCGCCCACGAGGAGCGGCCGCAGCACCAGGGGCAGGAGGGGGTGGCTTGGCGGTCGAGCCCCGCAAGCTCGCCACCGCCGCGCGGAGAAGGCCCTCCGCGGCATGCAGAAGGCGCGCCAACTCCAGGGAGCGGCCAACCGCGAGCCCAGCCGCGGCGTGGGCCGCAAGAAGGGCACCAGGGGCCGCCTCCTCGGCGTCGCGGCGGCCCCGGGCCAGCGCCGTGAGCGTATCAGGCATGGGCGAGGCAGCGAGCGGCGAGGCGCGCCCAGCGATAGAAAGCTTGAGCGACAGGATACTAGCCACCGGGGCCTTCGGTCGAGCTCCCTATGGGACCACGGAACGCTGTACTGGGCGGACCGGATGCATGCGACAGCAGCCTCTCGGGCGTTCGGCGGAGCTCCGTATGGGGGCACGAAACGCTGTACTGGGCGGGGCGGACGCATGCGAGAGCAGCCATTGGGGCCTTCGGTGGAACTCCCCATGAAACCACGAGCGCTGTACTGAGTGGAGGGGGACATACTGATGAGGACAGAGGCAAGGAAGGGGAGGAGGGAGGAGGAAGGAGGGGGAGGGCGGCAGATGAGAGGCGCGGGGCGCTGCCTCTTTAACACGGGGACAAGATACCTCAGGATTGTTGGTTGAAAGACAGACAGACAGACAGACAGACAGACAGACAGACAGACAGACAGACAGACAGACAGACATGCATGCAGATACAGACATGCATGCATACATACATACAAACATATGTATGCATGTATGTATATCAATACATGC